AGTGAGTTTCAATCGTCAGTCCCGCGCATAGTCCCGAGATAAAGAAAAAAAAATCAACGCTGGATGAAACGTCCGGTTGATTTAGGAAAAACGCCGAGCGGCGGCGAGCGGGGGAATATCGAGAGCCGGCGGACGAGAGTACGCCGCTCGCAGTGTGCAGCACGAAAGTGTGCCGCGAGTTTATAAAGCCTCAGAGAAGATATCGTTTATGGCGGCGTAACGTCTGACTCGGTCGCGTCAGATGCGGCGATATAACCGAATCGCGAGCACGTGCCGACAGCGTCCAATAACTCCAAGAACGACGTGTTCCCGCCTTCGCTGCTCTCGCAGTCGCATCGGCCGTCCCGCGGGCCCCCCCCCCCTTCGGGGAGGACTGTCGAAAGTTGGTCGGACGATTTGTAACCAGCCCGGCAGCGTTCTCTCGGAAGAGACTCCGGGATTCTCATCGTCGTTAAACCCGGAATCGACACGAACAATCGGATCTTCCCCCTCTTCCCCACCCGTCGACGGGTATTACCGGCATACGCGCGCCGCTCTACATTCCGCGCCACGTGACGAGCCCGGAATCGCGATCCGGCTGATCATTTGAATAAGCGATCGACGAGTCCCCGGAGACGCGCTCCTTCGGAACGGAACGGAACGGAACGGAACGGATCATTGATTCTCCCTAATGCTGTCGTCCCGATCGCCGGGCTCTCTGCGAGCGACGCGAACGTCCCGAAGTGGTCGCCCAAAGTGGTGGGTCGAGGCTGCACGCGAGGCAGCTGCGACAATCGGCAGATATCTGGCTGGAATTAAGAAGGAGCGGCTCTCGCGGGGAAATATCGCGGACACGGACGGAGCCGAGTCGATATCTCGTCGCGCCGGGGCTCCGCCTGTCGATTCTCGTTAGGAAAGTAGCGCGTCTCTTCCGGCCGGGCGTTATTGGAGAATTGCACGTTGACTCTTTCGTGCTTCCGGCTGACAATCGCGTCGACTCCGCGAGTAAATAGCTTCGGTTGCAGACTAGAGCTAGAGAGTCGGGCACGATCGCGACAGCGGCGTGTCTACGCGACGTTCACGTCTGGATTTGCGTCTCTCGCGTGTGCGTGAATTTGCCTCGCCGTGAAATTCGAAAGGTCGCTAGAGCGTTGTTACGCGTCGCGCACCGCGCGTCGACGAGAAATAAATCGAGCCGGCCGGCCGGCCGGTCGGCGTGCGCGCAATTGCAACGGGAAATTCCAACGGCGAGATTGCGCCGTGGTAATCGCGTTTCGGTGTTTATAATAATCGCCGGCTGGAACGGCGACGGGAACTCTCCGAGAGACGTTTTGACACACCGCAAGTACATCGGCGAAACTGTCGGACGTGTCGTTTACAGATGGAGGAGCGGGCAAAGTTCGAGTCGCCGAGCGTCTCTCCTCGATCACCGTCGCATTGACGCAGCGCAATGGCGCAGCGATTCGCGGGAAAATGCGAGGGGAAATAATAAAGAGCGAGCAAAGTTCCGATTGCGTGCCGCCGCAGATAACGCGTAAGAAAGCTGCGAAGTGCCGAGGAAGCGCGCGCACGCACGATGTAATTTTCCAGGTAGAGCGCCGCGCGCGCAAAGACGACGAAGAAATAAACTCGTCGGCCACGGTAAACGGATATCGCCGAGAGAGCTAGCGCGGTAGTTGCGCAACGACTATTAGCGCCGTTATCCTTCTTTAATCCAGCTGTTGCAGTCGTTTCGCGCTCGCGAAACCGCCGAGTCACGTAAGCGTTTTCACCCTAGCCGGTTAACAGATTTTCAGAAGCAGTTAAGCCCGTTCCGGGAATTTTGAAACGACTAATCTCGCGGCGTTTCGCGTTTCAGATATAAAACGGATAAAGGCCGGCCGTTTCGTAACTAGACGCACGCCACTTCCGCGCCGTTTCCGAGTGTTTTCGGGAAATTTACCAGCGCGATGCGAGCGCGAGGAGCTCGATCACGGAGCGAGAACGGAGATTACTTGTACCTTCTACGTGCGCGTTGCCCCGTCAGTATATTCATATTATATATATATATATATATAAATTAAACCACCGTTCGATTTTATTTTCCAGCGGGAAAACGCTTTACCGAGGGGTAAAGGCGACTCCACACGTACACGAAGAATAAGGCGAGTGTACGTAAAAAAAAAAAAAAAAAAAAAGGGGGGGAAAAAATATAGCATGGCGCACAATGACTACGAGTGTGAAGTCAATATTAAACCAATATAAAAATTCACGGGCAAAAACGGCCGAGAAAATTCGCGCACACACGGGAGATTATATTAGCCAATGCGTTGGTCGCATTCGCGCCAACGTGTGATGTGAGACCGGCTCGAGGAGAAACGACCTGTGTGTACCCTGTGTGTGAATTTAATTTCAAGAGTCGCGCGACACGATTAACCTGTCGATCGCGCTAACGTAACTCGCGGTGAATTTCGCGGAAATACGTATGTACGCGCGTAAGTAAGTATTCGCGCATAAACTATTCGCGCCGATTATAGCTTATAGGGAAACGCAGGGTGAATATGAATACGTAATACACGGCAGCTCGGCGATATCCCAAAGGTCGCTGGCCGCAAATAGTCTCTTGGAAGGTCTCCTACGATCGATGACGTCTTCGAGCCGTTGTCAAATATTCTGTCGTCACCGAGACGTCATAGAATACGTCACACAAGTCGTAATAGTATCGGTATCGATCGTGTCATCTTTTCAGAGGCCATACACCGCCAGGCTATTACGTCTGTATGTAGGGAAACGCGAAATATCACGACGATAATATCAGTCCTCTCTCTCTCTCTCTCTCTCGCTCAACGCCCGACGCGATTGCGGATCGCGCGCGCAAAAAGGTGCGACGTCCCCCCCCCCCCTCGGACGTTATAGCGGCTTACGAGATGATAATAATAATAACAGATCCTTAAGTGTACAAAGTACCACCGTTGGACGCCGGAGAAAAAACAGCATCACCTTCGATCGATATTTCGCTCGTGAGAATTATATTAATACCCTAATATGCACGACTTTGTAGCAACTCGATATATTTACTCCACAGCGAGGATAATTTTATCCAGTATGTTTATACGAAGCGGCGCATCGCACCAACGAGAAATAAAGATTAAAAAAGTTGAGAATTAACAACTGCGAAATCGCTTCGCGCGGCGCACCGGCCGATCGTGTTTACGTTACATTGTGAAATTATTCATCGGCGAGTGATCGCTTAATCGCACGTTATTCGCGCGCTCGTCGGGCAGGAGACGCGGCCAAGGTAAAAATTCCAGCGCCGCTAGATGCATCGGCGAGGACACACGTAATTTGCTCGTCCTTCCGTGACGGTGCTCGTTCGCGGAACGTTTCATTCTACGAATGTGTGCCGAAGGGTGGAAACAAATTTGCAGAAAGCCGACGGATGTGCGCACACTCTGGCATGCGGAATCGTGACCGTTTATATCGAGTGGGCAAGCTCGATAATCGTCTGAGAGTCGTCGGTCCTCTTAACATTTCGCGTGGTTTGTACAGTTAATCGAGAAAATGACGTAACCAGATCCTCAAACGTCGTTCGCACAAAGTGTTCCCGTCGGTCGGTCGATTACGAATTTCACCGCCATCGCGAGTCGGCGCGCCTGGTCAATGCTGGTCCGCCGTTATTCACGTGAGAGGCGAGATATCACTTTTACATTATAATAACGACCTTCTTGCGGGATTTATCAAAGGCCTTACCTCCCTTCCTCCATTCTCGATTGTAAAGCTCCGAAAATAAAAGTAAGAAGCTCCGCTCTGCTCTGAACGCAAAACGATCGCATGATTTCTAGTGGAATACCTTGCGGGTCTCGTGAAAGCCGAGAGCACAGGCGCGGCGCGGCGAGGGGAAGGCACGGGACGAAACGACGGGAGAAATCAACCCCCGTATTCCGCGATCGTGCCGTTCGAGGGAGGAAGCCCGCGTTTCGTCGTCCAATGGCCGTCGGATAAGGCAAACCGGCGCTCGTTATCCGCACGCGATTTCTTTTCCGCGAACCGCCTATCGCGGCGAAATCGGCGTTTATCGTGCTGCGTTTTTTCCCTCCCTCTCCTCCCACCCTGACGAACATCGAGTCGACGTTCATACGTGTGTACGTTACGAACCTAACCCGGAACTAATTAGCTGGCGGTAATAATCCCGTGGCCGGTCGGCTCTCGCGGATCAATTCGGATTCTGGGAATTACGCGATCGAAAAGAAATGGGTGATCAATGATGGTGGTGGTGGTGGTGGTGGTGGTGGTGGTGGTGGTGATGGTAATCGGTCGATGGCTGGACGGATTTAGGGGTGCTCTGTGGTAAACGTTGTCGAATTATCGCGCCTCCCCGCGTTCCCCGCGACACGTCGTCGCGGCATTTAAAAGCAGAATGTGAATTCGAACGAGCGTGTTGGCGCTTTTTTCTTTTTTAATTTTCACCTCCACGTTAATCCTGCCAATTCCGGCAAAATCGAAGGATTAATAGGAGATCTTGTCTGGTGACATTGTTTACGAATAAAGATTTAAATTCCGCTTGCGTAGAGAAAACGAAAGAGGCGTCGGCCGATGTAAACGAGATTATTACACTCGCGATCCGAGGGATATCAATTGGATCAGAATTAAAAATCGGCATTAAAAATCAACGAGATTTATAAGATTTCGAGGCTGTTATGCGAGGCTATTTATAGCTGCAAATTATTTAGGATCCTTGATCGGGGACATAATTAATTATAAACTCGCATTCGTGCATCATTGCTCCGCTCGCTGTTTGAATCAATGTTTCATTGTTCGAAATTATGTTTGAAATAATGCAATAAGTACAAGCGCAAATTGACGAGTAATCGGATATTCGTGGAAACTATAATTATTCACTAAATGTTACACTAAATTAAACAACGATGAACGTGAGTTTAAACTTTGACTCAGTCATCTGTTTATTCTCGGTAAATTCGCTGATAAATTCGCTCTTTAGAAACATCCTTAAAACCTCCTGCGTAATAAATAATCTGACTCACCGACTGGAAATATATCGCTCTGACGCACGTCTCGATGTCCTTCGTCCTTGACCCGGTATCCTGGCTGCTTCGTCTTGGCGCTGACACTGACACTCACGTAAAGAGTATTCGAAGGTACACGTGTTGAACAACGCGACGCGGGCACGACGCGGTCCAAGGAATCCGATAAAGTGTCTCAAGAGCCGACGAAATATTCTTATCACGCCCGAAAGGAATGAGAAAGAACATACCGATGCACACAGTCCGCGGTAAACGCGTCGGTCGTCGGTCGTCGAGATGTAATCAACACTCGCGAAGTAAAGCACGCGACACACAAAGGTGCACAGGTCGACTGCTTTAATCACCCGGACTATTTGACCGTTTGACATCGTCACTCTCGGTATTTAATGACGAGCGGCAACGGTGGGGGCAACTGACGGGAGGGGGTAACCTGCTCCTCTTGCCGATCTAAGTTTAAGCTACTCTCTGCACCGTCGTGCACCTTCTTCCTGCAAACAAACGTTACAATTACCGTTACACTTTGTATCGCTTGCGCGAACGCCTCCTCCTCATTTCTTCAATCATGTTTCATTCTCAATCAATCATTTCTTTCAAAAAGACAAACGTTTGCGTAGTGGAAGAGCCCTTCGCTATGGCGAAGACTAAAAACCGCAGACAGACAGGCGAAATGATCATATGACGCATTATGGTGACATCGCGCGTTCGACGAGTTCTTACCGCGAGCCCGAATCAATCGTAACGATGTATCGGCGGAAAAGCCTCGCGTTCTCTCGAGGCGGTCGCCAAGCGCGAGCCGATCCTGAGCTCAGCTCCACGTGGGCGGCCTGTCTCGGTGCGTGAAACGCGCGTCGGACACGAAGACAGTGGAGCCACAGTGGAGTCAATTGGCGCCTTGAAGTGGTCAGCCGTCGCGCGCAGAGTGACTCGTCAGGTACGCGCCACAAGGTTCCTCTTGTCTCCGCGATCGTCTACGACGGCGACGGCACTTCTGAGAACGCCGGTACGATCGGCGATCCCAGACAGCCCCGTTATTGTTTCCGCTGCGTTAAAAATACCGCTCGAGCTTGGGCGCGCCATTATCTCCGCGACCGATGCGCGCATCTCCCGCCTGGCAGCGCGCGCGCGCAGCCCTGACGAGCTCAGCCCGTGTCTTCGTCACGGAACATAAGTGCCGCGCAGAAATCTCGAGATCGCGCCGACCGATCGAGAGACGGGCGGTCTCTCGTCGTCGTCTGGGAGAAAACGAGCGACACGATGCGCGCTCGGGAGTTTAAGCGCGACTCGACTCCCGGAGCGAAGTAATACTTTCCCCGAGTTCTCTCTCTCTCTCTCTCTCTCTCTCTCTCTCTCTCTCTCTCGCGGTATTTCGATATTCTCGCACTGCATCTCGACGCTTCTTGAATAATGGATCATCGGCGTTCGCCCCGGCAGCCCCGGCGTATCGCACGCGTGTGTCTTCGCGAGCGAGCGCGGAGAATGCGCTCTCGGTCTCGCTTCTCTCGCCGTTTCAATCGCGCGAGATTGTCTCCGTGAGGACATTGTTCGCGCCGTGCGCGCGCTCGTCAACTCGGACAACTCGGCCGAGATAATGACGCCGAGGCTGACCCGTGTAGATTCCTCTCCGCCGCGACAAAACCGGGACGCGCTCTCGCTCGCGCGGAGAGCGAGTGTAAGAATCGTAAGAAAGAACGACTAATCTCTGCGGCGAGACGCTGCCTCGTCGTCGGAGAAAACGGACCATGTCCTGAATTCTTCGTCGCCACGAGGCGAGCGCGCGAAGTCGCGCGAATAAAGGACGACGGCGGGCGCGGGCGGGTCGAAGGGACCGCGCGCGATCGGAGGACATCGCCTCTCCGTGACCTTTTGTTCCATATACAGGAGTCAGCGGGAGAATTGACCCAGTGCGCCGCGTCATCCGCCGAAGAGCGGAGGTCGTGTCTTTGGTTTTTCTTCCGGGCCGATGAAAGGAGCTTCGCGAGCGAGCGAGCGAGCGAGCGAGCGTGTGTTACGTAACACGTAGGTTTGTCCCGGCGACGACGCTCCGTGCAGCCTTTCGGGCAAACCGAATCCTCAGCTGCGCGAGGGAGGAGCTCGAGTGTTTTCAGATACTCGCTCTCTCTCGTCGACTTCTCGATTTAAAGCCCGCAGTCTAGTCACGTGTATTGCCGCTGGATGAGTCCTAACCGCCTAACTCTCTCCGGCCCGAGATATCATGTGTGATATGCGCATTATATATGGGAGCATTATATCCCGTGTGAGATCGTGTAAATCTCGGAATCCTGCACGTAAATGTTCGAGACCGCGTTTAACACGTTCATCACCGTCGCTTTTCCCCCCGCTCGATCCCCGGAGGATCGCTCGGTGCTTGATGTTCAAGCGACGCGAGAATAAACGCGACTGGTCGCACGTTCAATCCGCTCGACGCCGAATCCAGCCGGCTCGCCCGCGCAAATTAACGAGACGCCTGCGAGACATCGCAGGATCGCGGTCGCGGTCAGCGTGCGCGAAAAGTGCAAATTTCGGGCGCGTTTACGCGGCTGCTGTAAACGCTCGCTCAGAGTGCTTTGAGCAAAGGCCGGCCCCGCGCGCTCGAAAACGAGCCGCGTAAATTCGCCCTCAGCGACGGACGGGAAAACAATCGGGAGAGAGCCGCGGAAAACTTGGCTCATCTTAACTGCCAAGAGCCGGCGCGCGCTTTTACCGCCATCAAGCCTGTTCTTCCGCGGCCTCCCGACCACCTCCTCCCGGCCTCCTCTCCACCTCCGCGGAGAGGCAGAGCACGGGCGCCGGCACGGGAGCTGGGGTGCTCCGAGGCGCCGAGGGCGCTTTGTTCGCCGCCGCCGCCGCCGCCGCCGCCGCCGTCTCCGTTGCTCCTTTTTTCCCCGTGGCCGTCCACGACATTTCGACAATGGAAACTGCGAGAGCGCGAGGTCGCTCCGCTCTCTCACTCGACCTCGTTCAGAGAGGACGAGGCTCTCGAAATCTGCTCCCGCCAACCCAGCAGCCCGCCGGCATCACCGTCGGCCTCGCCGCTCCGCTCCTCCTCGCGTCCTTCCGCCTCCCGTCTCCTCCCCCGGTCGCTTCGCCAACGAGCTCTGTGTTCCCCGCGCCGTCGATCGACCAGAGCTGGCCGCACGCGACGGACATTTTACATCCTCTCCTCTCACCGCTCGCGCTCACTTCCATTTTCCTCTCGCCGCGGCGAGAGTCGCGGAGAACTCTCCCGCAAAGAACAGCCGAGTTATTTTCGCGACGACGCGGCGTTTCGTCGCTTTCATCGTCGCTTTCTCTCGTCGCGGTTCTCACGGCCGACGGATCTCCTCCGGCTTTTACGGCAATTGCGGATACGCTCGAGAATCGTCGCTTCGATGAGGAGCAGATTCGACCGATCGCTAGAAAAGTGGCTCGAAACAGTCTTCGAATTTGAGACCTCTTTTGGAGCCTCCAGAAATATACGCGATTTATTTTCGCTTCTTATTTTAGGACGCCTTTTATTTCATCGAAGCTTGCGTATGGTGCGCACATACATACTCTCTCTCTCTCTCTCTCTCTCTCTCTGAAAAGTTATTGCGAGGTTGAATCGATTAAACCGAAACGATAACAGCACGGAAAGAAGAATAAATTCATATCCGCGCGTGATAGCTATCGGGTCGTATTGAACTTTTTTGAATATCTTCAGCAATATATATTGCGAATCGCGTGGGTATAAATATTTTTTTTGGAATCAATGACAGTGTACACAGGGGCATCTATATGGAAATTTGCACTATAAATTACGAGAGTTTCTATAGCCGGGAATATAAAGCTGCGCGCAACTTCATCGTTCGCGCAGCCCCGCATTGAGATATTCCGCGATAATTATTCGCATATAATTAATATACACGTGGACGCGTGTCAAGTTGGGACATCAAGCTGAGAGGCCTCCGCGCCGGCGGCTGTATATAATTCAAAAAGTGGAGAAACGAACGCGCTTGGTAGCGGCTTCGCGATAAAAAAAAAGAAAAAAAAAAAAGAAGAAAAAAGAAAAGAAAGGAAAGCGCCGCCGAAGCGCTTGAAATTTGCGTACTATTTACTCCCCCGGAGCAAAAACTGCCCTTATCCATTTATAAAGATTTTTAAAAATACACGCGCGCGCAAAACCACGAACGACGATGAAAGCAACGGCCTCGCCGGGACATTAGATCTAAAATAGTAACGGGATTATCAGAGTGGCGGATCCTTTTCCCCTTTTTTCGCGCTATCTTGCTCATTTTGCCGTCGTGTTATATTTTCCTCGCGGTATTATTAGCGGCGGAGCTTTCGGGTCGTCATAATCTAGCTATCGCGCGACGCCTAATGAATAAACATTCGCATATCGTATCTAAAATAACCGCCGCGACGTAATCGCGGTATTTTGCGTGTGTTTCTCCACGCGTTTATCGCGCGCGCGCGCGCGCTCTCCGCGTGAAACTCCGTCGGGGCAGTCCGCGTGTCGCGCCGAAAGCGTCCGTATTTACATGCAAAAAACACACGCCGAAAGATCCCAACACCCGCGCGCGCGCGCCCTCGCAATAAAACAGCGATATAAATTACATATCCTATCTCACGTTTCAAACGCCGCATCGCCCACCGCCATTTTCGCTCAAGTTCCCCCGTCCACGCCAGAAAGCGCGCGCGATATTATTTCCCCGCTCTCCTTTTTTCCCCCCTTTTCCCGCCCTTCCCGCCGTTTGCTGTTGTTTTGCCGTGTTTGCCTTTTCCTTTCTCCCTTTTTCAACAGATCCACATGCACCGCGCGCGCAGCGTCGGTAAATTTGCCGAGTGGAAATAATTACAGGCGGTTTTTACGTCTGCACAAAAGAACTATCAGCGCGCGTGGGACGCACACCTCGAAGATAGACAAACACCTGGCGTCGCCGCCGCGAGTTGGCTATTTTCCTCAAGGAACATTTCCATCGGCCAGAGCCGGGCTCTGCGAGATGTCCGAGCGACCGTATTAAAATCCGCTATCCCCCGTTATACAGCGCAGTCGCCTCATTAATGGAATTATCCAAGGTGTCCCGATGGTCCGCGATATCCTATGTAATTCCATTAACCATTCCATCCCACCGGCTGGGGAGGCAGACAGGCAGGCAGGCAGGCAGGCTCGGCCGGGCAGGCAGCGGCCGACGGATCGATGCCAGCGATCACGGAGGCTTTCCCGATGCGCGATAAATAATCGCGACGTGTGTCGTCGCACTCGTCGGCCGTCATGTATGGAGTACGTTTCGGCCTGACACGGTCGCGTCATGTCGTGTGACGCGCATCACGCGCTCGTCACGTTGTTGTGGACCCTTCCTCTCTCCCTCTCCCTCGCCCCTCTTCACTCTTATTTTCTCTCCTTCGCCTCTCTGCCACCCCCCCCCCTCTCTCTCTCTCTCTCTCTCTCTCCTGTTTTCTCTTCCTCCGCAATAGCGCGCACCGAGCGACAAGCGGACGGACGGACGGATGGACAGACGGCCCGCCATTG